ATATATATATATATATATATATATATATATATATATATATATATAAAACATAATTTCAATGTACTTTGTTCTGAAAATAAATGTATTTATCACCTGAAACTGCTGCTGAGTAGAGAAAGCTGCAGAAACATTAGGAGGAAGCTGTGTTGCTATGGCAACTGGCGTCACTGCTTGGCCATCTTTTCCAGTAACAACTTTTACCTTGAAAAATAAAACATTTCTAAGAAGCAGGATATATAATATATGTAATGGAAAGCTTTTCAACTTGAAATAGCTAGACTATCTAACACTAAGGACTAGCTATGGTAGTACCTCGTCATTAATGACTTCCGACTGTTCTTCTTCTTCATCATCATCTTCAAGATCCAAGTCATTTTGTCTCAAGTAAGTATACAAGGGAACACATGGCTTCTTTTTAAATGCTAGATAGTCCATCATGTTCCCTTGAAGGTGTCGCAGAAAGAAAAGTTCGACCAGGTATTCCTTGAACACTTCTTTCAAGCTCTCCATCTTCTTGGTGTGATGCTCCAAACACTGTTTTCTAAGCTGGGCAATTTCTGGAGTAGAAGGAGCAATTTCCTCTAACTTCTTAGCAGTTTGCTTCTTCATACTTCCTGAAGTCATGCTGGTTGGTGTAAGGGGATTGTTGGGGATGCCTTGGGGTGGACTAGTAAGAGATGGGCTTGAGGGTGGAATGGAGGAGGGTATGCTGAATGTTGCTGTGGTTCCCACTCCTGGAACCACACCTTGTGCAGTCTTTTCAAATATCATAGGGCGTGCGAGCTGACCTTTAATGATACTGCTAATTTGTGGAGGTAGGTTGGACGTGGTGATGTGACCAGGGCTGCCCAGTGTAGGAAGATTAGTACCAGTGGCAACAGGGCTTTGTGGTCCAAGGTGATGAATTGTACCTCCAGTTTGAGAGTGAGGCTGAGAAAGCCGTCGTTCTCTCACGGAGCCTGGTGTTCCTGCAGACGATATTTGTACCTGGCCAGAAGCTGCTGGTGCAATCTGGGCCAGTCCTGTCCCCTCCTGGTAAACAAAGTGCCCTCCTCCCGATTGGTTACCTAAACTGATTTGTCGAACTAACATGCCAGCTTCAACAAATCGTGTTGGGCTCTGTGCACACACTCCCAATGCTGTTGGAGGTGCCCCTGCCCTTGTTACACCTTGTAGAGAGACTGGGTTGTGCTGGGTGGGACTTTGGGGTTGAATAGTTTGGGGCATAGGGGAGGTGACCTGAATGTAGGAGGATGGGGTATGCTCCAACCGCCACTGAGAAGTAGTGTGCTGGAAGCCAGGGGATACTGGGTTCTGAATGGGGAGTGGGGTCAGAGTGATCTGCTGATTAGCAGCAACCACATTTTGTAAAGTGATGTTCACATTCTGGCTATTGGCTGGGCTTCGACTCGTCATGATTATCTGATAATTGGGGGACTGAGGGGCTGAAGGGCTGGCAGAAGAAAAAGTGGTCACAGGAGATTGAGGGTGGTTAATTGTTGCTTGCTGCTGTGTAGCTGCCATGACCAGCTGTTGCTGCTCCTCTGCTTCTGACCCATTGACAGACTTGGATTTTTGAAGCTGACGTTGCATACTCTGCGAACCACTTCCATGGTGCATTGCGTGACACTATTACTATGCCTAAGCAGAACAATCTGTGAAAAGGGTACAGTACAAAGACAATTTTTAATGACTATATATGAGCCATAAAGTTGGAATTTAATTTGTTTCTTCATAAATATTGCCTTCCGGCCATATGATAATTAATCATTTGGTAATTAATAATTAAGTCCTCGGGTTGAAGCAATAACGCATAAAGTGAATATACACTCATTGTGTTTAAAAACAAACACTACTATACTATGAAATAAACAAGTCAATAATTATTTGTCAAGGTTTGTCATGCCCCTTACTTCTTAAGCCAAAATGTAGATCCACCCTTTTATTGATAAACACCAAATCATTGATTCAAATCATGTGTATTGAAGAAAAATCTAAGACATGTAAGATAGTGGCCCTTGAGGATCAGGACTGGACATCTCTAGCCTTCTCTTGTTAGCCAACACAACTAGTGACCAATCATCTTTCTTTTGTTGCCAATTTTGGACCAGGTACAGATCATGGGAGTAGCAGCATTTCTCTCTTCCTAATTACCTCCTTCAATTCATCAAGGAACACACTAAGTTATAATAATTTATCTAAAACCTCCAGGGTTTACACTTAAATCTACTATCTGGAGAGGTTTAAATGACCTCCCTAATAATGGATCCAATTGGTTTCATTAACAAATCCTTAAAATTACATCAAAATGCTCCTTTCTAACACTTACCCATAAACTTAGCCAAAACATAACTATATAGCGGTGCAGAAAAAAAATTGATTCATTAAAGAATCTCGATTGCTAGTCCTGGTGATTCTGAATCGATTCTAAAGGCCCATAAATTGATTTTAAAATGTGTTTAGGTTTTTTTCCCCACTCCTACACCTGAGCGTACTGCATATCGCATTACGTGTCCGCTCGGCCACCACAGATTTGGCCTTGTAGGCCATCATACAGCAAGCTAGTTAGCCAGCTCCCTTTATCTGAATGGAGTCCGCTAGCATGGAGAGGGAGGTCAGCGGGATTCAACCTGCTCCTTCGTCATTAAAACTCAGTGTAAAGTCATTTTGGATTCTAAATTGTTCCAGGGAAGACAGAGCTTGACAAGAGCACTGTTGTTTGCAAGAAGTGTAAAATAAAATTGTGTACAGTATTATGGAAATATGACAAATGCGTGGAAGGTAGATGAAAAGCGAAAGCAGCAGATCAGCGAAGTCTGGAACAACAAACTTCCAGCTAATTCCGCAAGGGCTGTGAAGATTTCCCACTCCACCGCTTGCAGTCGAAGGTGAGGGGTTTAGGTTTATTTTTAATACGCTGGACCCAAGGCACATTATTTCTTCACGTAGCTTTTAGCAATAAAGCAGTGCCACACCTCTACCATGAAACAAAGAATAAAGTAGGAGAAGCTCAGATTAATGCTACTAGCTACAGCTCAAAGTGTAACTGTTTTTTCTCATATTATACAAAAACTTATAGAGACAAGTTACACAACAAACTTAATTTGTCTTTTTAACAGGCTGAAGAGAGGCCAAATGAGACACATCGCCTGGAGCCAGTTCTAAATGATACAATTTATGGTTTATAAATTGCATACAGTTCAGAATGTTTTTGTGCAGACTTGCACAGGTTTTCAAGTTTTGTTAAAGATTTACTAAATATTAATAAAATATAGTTAAGACTGTAAAGTCTGTATATTTCACATTAGGTTAAGTTTTGAAAATATAGCAAATGTTGGTGCAATATGGTTAAAGAACTATGTCGTCTGTATTTTATTTTGAGTTTAAGGTTAATGCAATATGGTAGGCTGAAGTTTTTGTTTACTTTTATATTTATATATTTTGAATTATTTGTCTGTGATGGACTTGTGACCTGTCCAGCTGTCCCCCGCCTCTCACACAGTGATGGCTGGACATGAGCACCAGTGACAACCATGACCCGAAAAGGAAGAAGCGAGTAAAGATAATGGATGGATGGATGAATTATTTGTTCCTAGATATAAATTTTTTTATTTGAGGAAAAAGCCAGAGAGCTAAGCTAACCTAATACTGGTAATTTAAGCAACAGTATTTTACGCACACCTATATTTGTTCCTATTTTTGATGGGGTGCACCAATAAATTGGCCGGCCGATTTGAGAGTGAGGCTGATTTATCGGCCCCGATTTCCTTAATTTTGGGATATCAGCCGATACTTGCATGAGAAACCAATTTTACAGTTTTTTTTTTTTTTTTTTAAGTTTTAACAACAATTGTCTGAACTTCATTTATATTTCAGAGCACTACCTCATGGCCAGTTAAAACAAGTTTGTATTGTTTCTAGGATATTGCTCAATGGTATGTTTTTCAACAAAATAATATTGGAAAATTAAAGGTGCATTGTGACCTTACAACACCTGACAGTGTTGCCTATAAAACAAAATTGGCATCAGCCAAAATCAGAATCGGCAGGTCAGACTTTTCAGAAATCGGTTATCGGCCAGAAAACTACAATTGGTGCACCCCTGACTTTTTGGTATAAATATGAAATTATGCAAAAAGATTTGATACAGTAAGGAACATAAAATAATTGTTTTAAACTAATGTTCTACGAACCGGATTCCAAAAAAGTTGGGACACTAAACAAATTGTTAATAAAAACTGAATGCAATGATGTGGAGATGTCAAATGTCAATATTTTATTCGTAATATAACATAGATGACAGATCAAAAGTTTAATCTGAGTAAATGTAACATTTTAAAGGAGAAATATGTTGATTCAAATTTTCACAGTGTCAACAAATCCCAAAAAAGTTGGGACAAGTAGCAATAAGTGGCTGGCAAAAGGAAATTGATCATATAACGAACAGCTGGAAGACCAATTAACTCTAATTAGGTCAATTGACAACATGATTGGGTATAAAAAGAGATTCTCAGAGTGTCAGTGTCTCTCAGAAGCCAAGATGGTAAGAGGATCACCAATTCCACCATTGTTGAGCAGAAAGATAGTGCAGCAATACCAGAATGGTGTTACCCAGCGTAAAATAGCAAAGAATTTTAAGTTATCATCATCAACCGTGCATAACATCATAAAAAGATTCAGAGAATCTGGAACAATCGCTGTGCGTAAGGGTCAAGGCCGTAAAACTCTACTGGATGCTCGTGATCTCCGGGCCCTTAAACGTCACTGCACCTCAAACAGGAATGCCACTGTCAAGGAAATAACAGAATAGGCTCAGGAATACTTCCAGAAAGCATTGTCAGTGAACACAATCCACCGTGCCATCCGCCGTTGCCAGCTGAAACTCTACAGTGCAAAGAGGAAGCCATTTCTAAGCAAGCTCCACAAGCTCAGACGTTTGCACTGGGCCAGGGGTCATTTAAAATGGTGTGGCAAAATGGAAGACTGTTCTGTGGTCAGAGGAGTGACGATTTGAAGTTCTTTATGGACCACTGGGACACCATGTCATCCGGACCAGAGAGGACAAGGATAGCCCAAGTTGTTATCAACGCTCTGTTCAGAAGCCTGCATCACTGATGGTATGGGGTTGCATGAGCGCTTGTGGCATGGGCAGCTTGTATGTCTGGAAAGGCACCATTAATGCAGAGAACTATGTTCAGGTTCTAGAACAACATATGCTCCCATCTAGACGTCATCTCTTTCAGGGAAGTCCCTGCATTTTTCAACACGATAATGCCAGACCACATTCTGCAGCAATCACAACATCATGGCTACGTAGGAGAAGGATCTGGGTACTGAAATGGCCAGCCTGCAGTCCAGATCTTTCACCTATAGAGAACATTTGGCGCATCATAAAGAGGAAGGTGCGACAAAGAAGGCCCAAGACGATTGAACAGTTAGAGGCCTGTATCAGACATGAATGGGAGAGCATTCCTATTTCTAAACTTGTGAAACTGGTCTCCTCTGTCCCCAGACGTCTGTTGAATGTTGTAAGAAGAAGGGGGGATGCCACACAGTGGTAAAAATGGACTTGTCCCAACTTTTTTGGGATTTGTTGATGCCATGAAATTTGGAAACAACAGATTTTTCCCTTAAAATGATACATTCTCTCAGTTTAAACTTTTGATCTGTGATTTGTGTTCTATTCTGAATAAAATATTAGATGTTGGCACCTCCACATCATTGCATTCAGTTTTTATTCACAATTTATTTAGTGTCCCAACTTTTTTGGAATCCGGTTTGTATTTGTTTACATTGTTGTTTAATCTTTTCATCTTGTCAATTATATAACTGAAACAAAATGTATGACCATTTCAATAGAAAAATCATTTCTGAATCGAATCGTGACACCAAAAATCAGAATCACATCGAATCGCCAGACACAGAGATTCCCACCACTATAATTATAACTCTCAAATTCTGAAATCAACTTTCCTCCTCTCAACTTTTGGATTTAATTAGCCATAGCACACACTGCTTTAAATGATGCATTTAAAATAAATCAAGGGGGATAATAAGGCAGTAGCTTGATATCAATTTACTGGAACGTAACATGTAAATATTTCCTTTTTTTTGTTAATAGAGCTTACATTGACTTTCTTGTTGCTTTCGCAGGAGTTAACTTTAAAGGGTTCAAAATCCTTGACAGTTATACTTAGGCGTAAAAAAAGACAGAATTAAATTCCTGCAACAGCACCATGCATTTACGAAATATGACATTGTATGAAATATGACATACGATGTTAAAATGATTCGACTTGCAATGAAAATATTAAATTGTGTGCTAACATTAAAATACACGCGTTAAAAAATGCAATATAGTTGAACTATAACATATTTTCAATATAATTAAATTATCATATTAACCAACAATATAATATTATCATAATATTATTATAAAATTATTTTTTGTTAACGCTAGCGTCCACATCGGGGCGTAACGCTAAGTTACCATACCCACTAGCGTTACAATAACACAATATTCAGCCTGGTCAGTACATGCATGCAAACGGCTGGAACAAAATCACATAAGTAAAAAACATTTTTGTTAAATATTACATCGTGCCATTTCTAATAACACAAACTTTAATTTCGAAACTTATAATGACTATTACGGAACGCGTGCTAGCTGATGCTAACGGTTAGCTTGTTGTTGCTATTATGAAGCCAATGAACAAATAAATAAATCGTTTAAATTGAGTTACTTACAAGACACGAGACTTCTGTATAGGTGTACTGAATTCTAAGTCATATCTACAAGAGGCCACAAGCTTTAACATGCATTACTCCACGAATTATAAACAACTAATATTGCTAGCTGTTTTTCAATGTTTTGAAGCTAATTTCATTCACCAACATGGCGTCCGCGACAACTTACATTATGACCCGGATGTAGTTGTTCCGCCAGGAAGCGGTTTGAAAAACATGACGCAAATAAAATAAGTACCACAATGTCCATCGACATGTATTAAAACCATAGCTTTAAATAAGATAAGCGTTAACTGAGCGTTATTTAACTCAATGATAAAAGCAATAATGTTTTTTTTTCCCCTACGCTGGTGAAGATTCTCAGTCATCCAGGACATGATGAATTCAAAAAATGTTCAATACAAAAACAACTGGACTTTATTTGTAACAGAAGACGTTTCGCTCCTCATCCAAGGAGCATTCTCAATTCAAAGAGCAGAGAAGTGAGAGATTCAGGTTATAAAGCTGACTGAGATAAGACACACACACATATGTAGATTGGCAGTTCACACCTAAACAACATTAACAGTAAGAGTCTTTTGTTCCTCTAATTCACAGATGAGACCACTCTGTTCCCATCAGGTGTGAAAACCGGCTGGGAATCTGTCTTAAAGTTGCATTATATGTTTTTGAAAGTGGAAATCTGAGGCCTCCTCCTCTGTTAAGAGACGGCTTTTCTCTTTTTACATAAATTGCTTCCTTCACCCCCCTCTCAAACCATCTGCGTTCTCGGTCCAAAATGTGCACATTTTGGTCCTCAAAAGAGTGTCCCTTATCTGTGAGATGGAGGTGAACAGCTGAATCTTGTCCAGAGGAGGTGGCTCTCCTGTGTTGAGCCATGCGTCTGTGAAGAGGCTGTTTAGTTTCTCCAATGTAGAGGTCTGGACAGTCCTCGCTGCACTGGACCGCATACACTACACCACTCTGTTTGTGTATGGGTGTGTTGTCCTTAGGGTGGACCAGCCTCTGTCTGAGAGTCCTGCTGGGTTTGAAATGTACTGGGATGTTGTGTTTGTTGAAAATCCTTCTGAATTTCTCTGATACTCCAGCAACATAAGGGATGACAATGTTTTTACGTCTGTTGTTTTCCTTTTTCTGTTTATTGGTGTGTTTTGTAGATTTCCTCGCTGACTTGACAAAAGCCCAGTTAAGATATCCACATGTTTGAAGAGCTTCTTGAATGTGTTTCTGTTCCTTTTCCTTCCCTTTTGTCTTCGTGGGGACGAGTTCAGCCCGATGTTGTAAAGTTCTGATGACAGAGTTTGTGTTCCAGTGGATGGTGGGAGTCAAACAGAAGATACTGGTCTGTGTGGGTTGGTTTTCTGTAAACGTCAATGTTGAGGCTGTCCTCTTTTTCCATCTGAACCAAACAGTCCAAAAAAGGCAGCTTGTTGTCGTTTGCATCCTCTCTGGTGAACTTGATGTTGTTGTCGACCGAGTTAGTGTCTGGTGAACGCTTCTATTTCCTTAGCTTGGATTTTGACCCAGGTATCATCCACATAACGGAACCAATGGCTTGGCGTTGTTCCCTCATAGGAGTTTAGGGCTCTCTGTTCCACTTAGATTGGCAACAATGGGTGACACTGGAGATCCCATGGCACAGCCGTGCTTCTGTCTGTAAAAACTGTCATTGAACTTGAAATAAGTGGTGGAGAGGCAGAGATCCAACAGGGTGCAGAACTGGTCTGGGGTGAAGTTGGTCCTGTTGATTAAGTCCTCGTCTTGTAGAAGTTGTTTTCTGACGGTTTCTACTGCTTCAGAGATGGGTATGCATGTGAAAAGAGAAGTCACATCATACGATACAAGGGTTTCTCCTGGGGTTAGTTTCAAATGTTGAACTTTGTTAGCAAAATCAATGGAGTTCTTTATGTGATGAGGTGTTTCCAACAAGAGGAGCTAAAATACCTGCCAGATGTTTAGCAATATTGGATGTCACTGAGTTCATGCTGCTGACGATGGGTCTGAGTGGTGTTCCTTCTTTGTGTATTTTTGGAAGTCCATGAAGACAGGGAGTGCTTCCCCTGGGTACAATCTATAATACAACGATCGATTGTTTGTTTTCTCCTTTTCAAGTTTTTGCAGGTAATCTGTGACTTTCTTTTTGTAGGCACTGGTTGGGTCCCTCTTCAGGGTCTCGTAGGTGTTGCGGTCGCTCAGTAGTGTAGTTATTTTTTCCCGGTAATCAGAAGTGTTGAGGACTACTGTGCATCTTCCTTTATCAGCTGGTAAAATGGTGATGTTTTGGTCCTGGCTGAGTGATGTTACAGCTTTCCTTTCCTGTGGTGTGAGGTTTGAAGGAGGCGGTTTGGCACTGGAGATGGTTGCTGACATTTTCATTCTAAGCTGTTCTGCCTCTCCTTCCGTCAAGTTGTTGTTCCTAATCACGGATTCAGTGGCCGTGATTAGTTCCACAACAGGTATTTCTTGAGGGGAGATGGCAAAGTTTAGTCCTTTTGCCAGCACGTCTTTCTCATGTTGTGTCAATGTCATTTTTTTTCCCCAACGATTTCACCCAAATCGCCATAACTCTCATTCCTTGACATACAAATTAGACTAGTCGAAAATTATGGCATAAAAGAATACGGGTGATTCATTTTAGGAATGCTTTGACTTAAATGAACAAATATTCAATATCACATGCTGACAACCATAAAAATGAAATAAATATGAAATTAAGAAATCTACCAATTAATAGGACAAAATGTTGCTTTAAAGTCATCAACTCAAACAAGTAAAGTACCAGTTCTCAAAAAGACACATAATCATTGTTTACAAATACATTTTTATTGAGAACACACATCAAAACTTATTTTTGCACATTTAACAAGTAGTTTTAAATGTACAAAAGGTATGGATGAATTTAAAAAGCCTATATGTTGAATGTAATAATGTTAAAACCTGGTGTCCTCCTGTCAGAAAATAAAACCTGAACATCTACAATAAACAACTGAGGTTTGCATAAACTCAAACATATCTGCAAGAAAAGTTCATAAATGTTAAAATTAATGTGCACACAAACTACCGGTAATGTAACATGCAGTACCTAATCAGTGACTGCATAGCTACATGAGATTGATCGATTTTTTTATCAAACAAAATCTCATTCAAAATAAACGTATTGCACTTTACAATATACTGCATGTTTGTGAGACTTTAAGACTGACAGCCATAAAGCAGTTATATTTCACTTCACACACTTCTCTGTCGAGATATAAAAAATGTAAAAAAAAGAGGCACAGTTTTACTAAAAAAAATGCTACACTATTATTTGGTCATCTCATTAAAAATAGTCACACTCTTGTTAATCTGTGAACATTCATGAATCCATAATACAAATTTCTTGAACACAGAAACCAACCTAATTCATAGTTCAAGTATAACACACACACACACACACACACACACAAATCGCATTTCAATCATTTTTGATCTTTTCAAGTGCAAAACAAAGACGCACACTGACACAATCTGTACCCAAAGAAATACAGTTTACCTGATCAAATTATTCCAACAGTCTGTGCTCAAGAACGTTACACACAAAGGTCAAACGTTTCTGTATATTGAAGCTCAATTACAGATTGGTTTGTAGGATAACAGTCGAAGCTCTTGTGGTCATTTCTTCCAGATCAAAGTGCTCATGTGTGACAGAATCCATCTATATTCACCAGCGATGGACAAGCGAAGGTAATGTGCTGTCACAGATCTCTCAGACTCTGTTATGTCTGCAAAGCTGAGAGGCGTCGCTCAATACGCTTCTTGCCTGAAAATATAAAATCCATCTATGATTACATGGAAAGTGCATTCATCTCTTGTCTAATTTGAAGCTTTCAGCTGTTATTTTGTGTTTTGTGTATTAATGTATCCACATACATTTATCTATGGCGTCAATGTCCTTTTGCTCGTTGAGGATTCGAGACAGACCCTCCATCAACAGAAGGGCTTTATTGTAGCGCTGAACTGTTGCCGCCCCATAGTGGAACATCTCATCTAATGCAGCAGACTGGACCTACATGCGTTAAGAGCATAAAGGGCTGCAGTAAGGACAGAAAGCGACCTGAGGTGAACATCAGCAGCATGACATGAGCTCACCATGTGCACGGTGTGGCTGTAGATGAGCTTCTCAGCTGTGAGCCCGTTGAAGCGGTCGATGAGCTTCTGTTTGTCCAGCAAGAAGGTCTGCAGCCGATCATTCAGGGACCGACAAGAAGTCACGCAGTTCTTATACATTTTGTTCAGCTTCCTGATCACTGCAAAAAATAAACAAACAAACAAAAATAACAATAACCATTTTACAAGCTGTTACAGTTGCAAGGACCAAATACTGTATTTTGCTTCCATCAATAGTTAGCTTCAAATTTCTCAGGTAGATTGTTCTTTGTTGAAATTAGATTTTTTTTCTTACTCAACAGTTTGTTAGCTGATGAGTTCCTCAAGGATCCATCTTGGGGCCAGTTCTACTTACATTATACATTAGGGATGCATGCTATTATGAGCATGGTATTGGCCAATATTAGCAATAAAGTTAAATATTGGGCATCGGCCATACCATCAAAACAACTCGCCAATTAAAAAAGGAGATGTTTTATATATATATT